ATCCGCCGACCCCCTGTCGGTCTCCAGTCGTGCGAAATGGTCCCCCCCTATCATCCCCCCCTCCGTGCGAATTCGACACAAACACACACACACACACACACACACACACGCACGCACCCTGGCGGGCCTCGGACGACCCCCGGATGGACCCCGCAAGAAGGGTTTGGGCTGCCTCGGATCCCATTGGGAACTCCAAGACGGCCCCAAGGGTCTCCTGGATGGCCGCCGATGTGCGCGTGTGATTTTTGTTGGATCTTCGAACGCCATCGTGTGTTGTTATGGAAGGACCGTCTGGGCTTGAACTCACGGGGGGGGTCCAAAGAAATAGCCGAAAGACCCGAAGAGCCTTGAGCCCCCTGCGAGGCCAAACCGGGCATAAGTCTAACGCTTCTGCTGCACAAACAACAGTACGCCCCGCACCTGCACAGAAAAGCAAAAGACCACAAGGAATCACACACTTTCGGAGGTCAGCGCGGAGCTCCAACAAAAACTGGCGTGCCTGCTTCTTCTATTTGTTCGTTGCCCTTCTCTGATCTCACGACGGAAGGGGCGCCAACGGCGGATCCCGCGTAAGGACAAGAGAGTGCTGACGAACCCCGCCCCCCTCCCCCATTTCAAAAAGCTATGTGGTTACCCACCCGCCCCACTGCCCCCCACTTTCAAAACGGCGTGGCTTGGATCCTCCCCCCTTCCCCCGTTCACGTCGGAAAGGGGGGGGGGACGGCCTCGGGCGCATGGTGGTATCAAGGGAAGGGTGTCGGGGTCAGGGTGCTAGGGCTATGGCGTCCAGGTTAGGATGTTGAGGTGAGGATGATACGACAAGCGTGCGTAAGAGTAGGGTGTTCAGGTGTCAGGTCCACGGTCAGAGTGTTAGGATTACGGCGCTGTCGGTTAGGGTGTGAAAGTCATCTAGTGCTTGCGCAGATCATCCCCCCACCCCACCGCCCGAAGCCCTCCTCATGAGGTCGACCGACCTTCTTATCCGCCGCCCCAGATCGGCACACCCGTCACACGCTTCGTGGCCCCACGGGCTTCACCGAAAGCCCCAACGGGAAGATCCACATGTGTTTCCCCGCCCCATCCCAGCACACCCCATCAGACGCTGTCTGGCCCTATATGGAGCTCCACCGAAAGCCCCAGTGGCACCACATGCGTCTCCCCACACCAACTTCGGCACTCCCATCACACGCTGCACGGCCCCAGGGAGAAATCCACCGAACGGTCCCGTGGCAGTGCCAACATGGCCCCCCCCTGCACATTGCGGCACACCTCTCAAACGTTTCGTGGCCCCATCGGCATCTCCACCAAAGGCCCCAGTGGCAGTGACCACATGCGCACCCCCAGCCCATTTCGGAACACCCTTCGCACGCTTCGTGGCCCCGTAGGGAGCTCCACCGAAGGCCCCACTGGCTGTGCTCACGTTCGCCCCCAAACCCATGTCGGCACGCCCCTCATGTTTTGCGGCCCAGCAGGGAGCTCCACCGAAGGCCCCTCGCGCAATGCTCCCACGCGTAGCCCCACTCATGTCGGCACACCCAGTACGCGCTCCGAGCCCCAGTAGGGAATCAGCCGAAGACAATGCTCACAATTGGGTGACTCACAATTGCATATGGTTGGGTCCTTCGCCTGGATAGTTTGCATAGGATGGTGAGAGCTGGGCCGATGTCAATATTACCAGATGTACACCAAAATTATGTTGTGCGGGATACTGGATGTTGGGTCGCTGTGAAGGCCAGCTGGTGTCCAAAACATGGTATTGTCTGCACAGGATCCTGAGGGCTAGGAGCAAGAGGAAACAACGTTAAAAATCAGCCGAACGGCACGATCCGCGCGCGAGCACACGGATCGTGAAGGTTTTGAAGAACCGATGTGAACCGCATAACGTCTTTCGCATAGGATCGCAAGGGGCGAAATCGAGATGTGCACGATCCGTGTGCGGGCACAAGGATCCCAATGGATGGGTTGGTGTGAGCATATTGGATGGTGCTGAAGATGAAACAAACGATCCTACAGCTGGCCGATGCGCACAGCGTCCCGTTTTTTGCACTGGGTCGCAGAAGGGATGGCGGCCAAGGGCTGGTTTGGACCTGGTCGGCGACTGACCGGATGGAAGTAGAAGGGTTATATAAGTGAGACGTTCAAGACTTAGGGTGTGAGGGCGTTATGGTTAAGGGAGATAAGGTCACACAGGCTGCACCAGATCATTCCCCCCGCCGTAAGCCCTTCCCATGAGATCGACCTACCCACTTATCGCGTCAACGCAGTGTTACATCCTGTGCACCCTCGGAGCACATCTGGGCCGTCACGGCACGATCTTGGGACGTGCCTTGGTCCTGTTTATACCCCTTCCTGTACCATCAGATCGGCCCCCTCGGCAGATTCTGCACATGTCGACGCGATCTGACTCCTCTGCTCCGCTACGCCGCCTGCGGCGACGACGACGGTGAAACGGTTCAAACACGGATGCGGATTCCGATGCTGCTTGTGGCGACGGCGAGCTTGGGAGCGCTTGGGGAGCGACTAGAACGTCTCGGAACGCATCGCCGCGTCGAGGGGCGCATGGGAACCTTTGGGAAACCTGGGAGCGCGCTGTGAAGGTCAGCCGATGTCCACCACATGGAATATGTGTCAAGGGATCGTCAGCATTGGATGGGCGTGAAGATGAGCAGGTGTGCACCGAATGGCATCTGTTGCCACAGGTGAATGCTGACTCGCTGTGAAGGCCAGTCGTGGTGGTGACGATCAGCAAATGTGCACCGAATGGTGTTTGTTGCGGGGAGTGGTGAGTGTTCGGCATATGTGACTAGCAATGGGTGTCCCCCATATTGGATCCGTTGCTAGGGAATCGACGGGGTTGGGTAGGTGCGACGGTCAAAATATGTGCACCGAGCAGCATTTCTTATACACGATGGAACTCCACATGGGACGACCTTACGAAAAGCCGATGTGCACCGCGCCCCATCTCTTGCAGAAGATCCCGAAAAGGATCACGGCCAGGATTTGGGTGGGAACTGGCCGGGGGCGGGTGCCAAGGCGGTTCAATTATAGGGCAAGAGACTTGGGGCTGGGGCGTTAAAGTCCCACCAGCCATCCGGGCGACAGGTGGTCTAACGATGTCTTAACACCTTCTTCCCGCTCGGGGAGGGGTTCACCCCTCCCCTACACCCCCTCCGCTGGACCTGGACGGGGAGTTCGCGAGGTGTCACAAGGTCCTCTTTCGCCCAAGAGTGGCTCCAACAGGGCCTCAGAAAGCCCAAGATAGCCTCCAAGATCGCTCAAGGTAGCCCAACATGGCGCAAGATAGCTAACAACATGCCTCCAGGAGGCCCCAAGGGGGCCACAAGACGGTTCCAGGTGCTCTGGGCGACCCCTCAACACCTCCCCGAGAAACCCAAATCCTTCAAAAACCTTGAGACAGTCACTGATTGCTGCCTTCTCGCCTTTTCACTTAAGGTGCGCTTTTGACGCCTCAAGATGGCCCTAAGATGGCCAACGAGCGCCCCAAGAAGGGCTCAAGAGGCCCCCAGGACTGCCCTAAGAGCGCCCAAGAGCACCCCCAGAGCCTATTTCGATGGCCCCGGAAGGGGGGACGCAAATCGAGGACCCCCCTCCTTTGACCGATAGTCTCCGAGATGGCCCCAAGAGGGTCTCCATAGCTCCCATGAGGGCCCAAAGAGAGCCCCAAGATGGCCATAAGATGGCCCGAAGGCGCCCCGACAGAGCCTCAAGAGGACCCCAAGACCCCCAAAAGAGCCCCAAGAGGGCCGCAAGATGCCCCAAAAGAGCTGCAAATGGACCCCATGATCCCCCAATACCGCCCCGTAGCTCCAAGAAGGCCTCCGATGCTCTAAGATAGCCTCCGAGATGGCTCAACACCCTCCGTCCTCCCCTCTCCTTGCACGCCCTGTTTCACTGTATGCGTTTCTTCGTCCTGTTTCCCGTCAGCTCTCCACGGCAGGACTCCTGAATGGGCTGGTGGGGATTCGCGAAGCGTAAACAATTTAGGTGATGCGGATTGGGTGTCAACGCTATGGGCCAGGGTGTCGAGGTCAGAATCCGCGCTTCGGTCAACGGCACTCGGATGAAGGCGCTAGGATCACAACCCCAAACCAATCCCCTGACCCTAAGCCCTGAGCCCTCCCCCTAAGATCGACCTACCCTCTTATCGCGCCCACGCGGCATTGCATCCTCTGTACCTTCCGAACCCATTTGGGCCGTCTCGCGGCGGTCTTGGGGCGTGCCTGGATGTTGCTTCTAACCCTTCCCATAAAATCGACCTCGTCAACAATCTGGACGCGTCAGCGCGATCTGATGCATATGATAATTGACGCGTCCTGCGGCGACGAGGGCGGCAAAACTGTTAAAATGCGGATGTGGATGCTGCTGCTGGCGACGGCGAGATTGGGAGCGCTTGGGGAACGATTGAGGCGTCTTGGAAAGTCTGGGAACGCCTGGGAACGTCTTGGAAACTCGGGAGGGCGCTGTGTAGGTCAGCCGATGTACACAAACTTGTACTTGCTGCAGGGGTCGTGAGGGTTAATTGGGTGCGATGTTGAGCAGATGTTCACCGAACAACAGTTTGCAAATTAATGTTAGTGTTGGGTCGCTGTGCAGGTCAGCCGATGCCTACCACATGATCGATGTTGCAATGGAGCGTGAGGGTTGGATAATTCTCAAGATCGGCTGATGTGTATCGACCCTTATGTGTTGCAGGGGATGGTGGGTATTGGCATCAGTGCACCGCATCTAAGCTGTTGCAGGGGATGGTGAGTATTGGCGTCCGCAGATGTCCACCGAATGTTTGTTTGGCACGGAAGCGTATAGTTTGGGTAAATGTGAAGATCCGAATGTGTATTTGCGTATACATGCGGCTCAACATGGAACAATATTACGATCAGCCGATGCGCCGCGCGCCTCATGTTTTGCAGCGGATCGCAAAAACGATCGGAGCCCCGGGTCGGTTTGGACCGGGTCGGGGGCCGGCCGCGGCGGTGTAGAAG